ATTACACTGAATCTCCACCTCTGATGAAATTCACACAGCTAATGCATACAGGTGATCATCTTCTCCTTCATCACATGAGTGTGTTTGTAATAAAGCCAACAAAGTAAGAAACACCTGATACCTATTTTTTCAAGAATGATATTGTTTTATACTTTATTCATGCTATACTGATCTACTAATTTTGCCGGTGGCCTGCTACTGAATAAATTGACTCTGCATTTTTTCAGTCAAATACAGAATTTGTATAACTTTACCATTTTAAACCCAAGAGCTTTGATAAAATTCTGTTTTGACCTCAGAAAATCTGAAAATCACTAAATTCCAACTATGAAAGCTAGGCACAATATCTTAAAAATAAAAAATATCAAATACAGCTTGACAATGATGCAAAACTGCTGTTGTTATTTTGTTATTTCTAACCCTAAGTATTTCTGCAACAATGTTACTGTGAAACCAAAATTTCAACACTACCATTCCGCAAGTTCTCTATGAAATCAGCTTTATGCATAAATCTATCAGCCCCAACAATATTATTCCTCATAAGCACTTAAATCAATGCAAATCACAAAGCCAATACTCTAATACTTCTGCCAGGCTAAAAACAATAGCCCTTCCACTATAAATCATTGGCAAAATAGGAAGTAATAATGGTTTATAGATTTTGGGGCTGAATCAAAAGATCTTGCAACAAAACGAGACTGCGGAAATTGCACTGCAATGAAAGTCCTACCAATGTTATTGATTCTTGGCATAAACTTGTCTGACAGCGGGCATATTTACATTTAATTTGAGTATGGGAAAGTCACAATATGAGCGTGGCTGGTGGTGTGATTGAATATGCAAACAACGACTGTAGTTCGGATTGATTGAGGTAATTGGGAAATGATGTTGACTGATAACCCAATCGATGTGTAATAACAGTATCTAATTGACGTTCATCTTGCATAGAGTGCTGATCAATTTGAATCGTGTAACGCTTGCTGTGGCTTGTTTTTCGGATGTGTTTTTCGTTCTCTGAACAGACCATGGGTTCAAAATCACGACTGGCGTTAGATTGTTTGTTTGTTGTTTAATGCCGCAATCAGCAATATTCCAGCTATATGACGGCAGTGGTGTTAGAACAGGATTAGAGTGAGTGAGGGAGTGGGGTTTGATGCTTGTGTTAAGAGTCATAGGGTGTTGAGGTACCAGTTGTGGGCACACATGCACACAATGATCTTAGTGTTAAGTCTGATTCCATACTCTGATATCATCCATCACGCTCCACTTGCACACAACGATCTTAGTGTTAAGTCTGATTCCATACTCTGATATCATCCATCACGTTCCACTTGCACACAACGATCTTAGTGCTAAGTCTGATTCCATACTCTGATATCATCCATCACGCTCCACTTGCACACAACGATCTTAGTGTAAAGTCTGATTCCATACTCTGATATCATCCATCACGTTCCACTTGCACACAACGATCTTAGTGTTAAGTCTGATTCCAAACTCTGATATCATCCATCACACTCCACTTGCACACAACGATCTTAGTGTTAAGTCTGATTCCATACTCTAATATCATCCATCACGTTCCACTTGCACTGAAAAAATCGTAGTAGACAACTATTTTATATTCTTAGGGAGGGGAGATGAATTTGCTTGAGGTTTTATTATAAACTAGAGAAATGTAATAATTGTGTGATTGACAAAATTTGTTTGTCTCTACCTTACACAGTAAAACATTGATTAGTTCGAAGCCATGACCATAAAAATGTTAATTTCTGTCTTCAAAAATAATCACTAAGATAATCCTATATCAGACAAATTTGCACAAACAGGCCATATCGTTAAGACTATTACAACAGACATACAATAATTGTGTTAAGATTGTTTGTACAAATGGGCCTAAAACTGGTGCCTAAACCCCTTATAGCCTTCAAGGTGTTAAATGGGGTTCTATTCCCCACATGGCTACAATGTGTGAAGCCCATTTCTGGTGTCCCCTGCCTTGATATTGTTGGAATATTGCTAAAAGCAACATAGACCATACTCACTCACTCAAGGTGTTTAATGGATTATGAGGCCAGACTCGGTGACTTGGATGATTACGTGTCATCATACCACAACCCTGCAGGGTGGTGCTCATATCAGACTCCAATATTTAGAGGCTTCCATAATGAGCTGGAATATAACTGAGTGTGATGTTAAACAACAAACAAAAGAAGCAAGACAGCCATACAACAATGTTCCATCTCTCCTTGCTCTAGACATAGCAGAAAGGCATTTGTGAATATTTGCCACAAAAATCATCTTATTTAAAGCAGGACCATACAAGGCCAATTTACAGGTATCCAAGTGTACACAAAGTATGTGATCTCGACTACAAGTTGTCAGGACTTCCATTTGTGGAGTGAGTGAGTATTTTAGTTTGCTGACACTGTGTGCTGGCGATAAGGTGCCTCACTCTGAGGGCCTGAGAGTCTGGGTTCGAATCCCAAATGGGACTCAACCCCAAAAAGAAGAATTTGTACTTTACTAGGAAAGTGTAATCCCAAATACAACATAATTACAATATTCGACGTAATAAGCGTCCCGCTCTAATAAGCGCCCACGGCGATATTTGCTAATATATTGGCTAGTGAACAATCCCAATTAGCACCCCTTCCGATTGATCAATGTACACAAGACATATCTATTCTTGTATAATACGTGTGTTAAATGCACCCTTAATTATGGGAAATTAAATTCTGGAATAATAGATCTGTCGTATATAAACATTTCTGGCTGTCAGCATAAACCACGAAATGTACGATCTTTCAACTCTGTTGTTTTTCACCAATATAATATTCTAATAAGAGCCCCCCATTTCTAATTTTGAGAGCGCCCTGGGCGCTTATAATGTCAAATACGGTATGTATCTGATAAAACAAAATTTGGATGGTTTGTATGTCAAAAAACAGTCTAAAACAAAATCTGATAAAAGCCCCGATTATGTCTCATTAAGCTGCCCCACATGAATCCTACCCTGGATAACTGAGACTGATAGAACACCAGGCTCTAAACACTACACATCGATTTGGACTTCCTGAATAACAAAGATGGTGTTTTCTTTCAAAATATTTGGTTTGAGTCTAGCTGTTGGTAAAATGCAGTTGGAAAATCATGGACATGAGAAACTTCATGATCATGGTAAAATTCATGAAGGGGGACAGACCCAAGTTAAGCATGATGTATGTTTAGCTGAATCCTACTAGTGCAGGTGCTGACAAACCTGATTCATAATTATGGGGAATAGTGAAATCAAACTGGTGGTACCTTGCTAAGGGAAGCAACTGTGGCACCTCAGACCACTGGGGTTCCCTTGTCCCACTCATCCGGAGTGAGTGAGTGAGTGAGTGAGTGAGTGAGTGAGTGAGTGAGTGAGTGAGTGAGTGAGTGAGTGAGTGAGTGAGTGAGTGAGTGAGTGAGTGAGTGAGTGAGTGAGTGAGTGAGTGAGTGAGTGAGTGAGTGAGTGAGTGAGTGAGTGAGTGAGTGAGTGAGTGAGTGAGTGAGTGAGTGAGTGAGTGAGTGAGTGAGTGAGTGAGTGAGTGAGTGAGTGAGTGAGTGAGTGAGTGAGTGAGTGAGTGAGTGAGTGAGTGAGTGAGTGAGTGAGTGAGTGAGTGAGTGAGTGAGTGAGTGAGTGAGTGAGTGAGTGAGTGAGTGAGTGAGTGAGTGAGTGAGTGAGTGAGTGAGTGAGTGAGTGAGTGAGTGAGTGAGTGAGTGAGTGAGTGAGTGAGTGAGTGAGTGAGTGAGTGAGTGAGTGAGTGAGTGAGTGAGTGAGTGAGTGAGTGAGTGAGTGAGTGAGTGAGTGAGTGAGTGAGTGAGTGAGTGAGTGAGTGAGTGAGTGAGTGAGTGAGTGAGTGAGTGAGTGAGTGAGTGAGTGAGCAAGCAATAGTCAACCTATATCACAGTGGCCTGTAAATAATCAAGTGTGTTGCTGCTTGTATTATCCGGAAAAAAAGACGGTTTAATAGTGCTAGCCCACTGAGATACCATGCTGCAGTATACTGACCTGTCCTTGTTTTAGCCCCTTAATGCCGAGGGCAACAACAAGTACCATCTTTTAATGTCTCTTTTAAAGTATGATGCAGCTAACTATCGAACCCTGGACCTTCTGCTCTCCAGACATGCCTGAGGTCGCATTAGGTGAACTTTCTAATCAGCCAATCAGCATCAAGGCCTCTAAAATCTCAGTAAGTGGACAAAGCATTCAAACAAGCACATCTGATTTCTGTGTCTCAAAAACTAACATAATAATGAGTTCTGACTGCAAAATATTAAAGCCTCACTTTTTCTATATATTTTTGTGGATATTTTATACATCCTGTCGTTTCCTAGAACCATGGTCTCCTCACCAAAAATAATTGTACTAGGGAGGATTTATTTGAGTTCTGTGTGGTTTACTTTTTTTTTAAAGATCAATTTTTACAAATCATGTGGTAAATAAATTAAGCCGAATCATATTAGAAAACTAACATGTGATTGGCTCAAAATTATGTGCATCCTTCAATTAGCTAGCTCAGTATCTACCAGATGCACCTTCCGGTGGGGGTCCTCAAGACTTCATGCAGAGAGTTGGTGCACGGAAGTAACATATCTGACTTGACTGAGATGCATCTGCAATCTTTACTCTGTCCTCCCTGACAGTATGGCCAATTAGAAGTAGGTCAGGAGCCTCACAGGGCTTGATTTCAGCCTTGTTTTGACATGTGTGTGCTGGTACAACTACTCTAGATACTTGAAACACTCTAAATCTGCTCCATTTCCTTGCTGCCTACTTCAGCTTGCATTTGATGTTGAACTGTCTGAGTCTAAGAACATTCAGTTTCTTTATTTGAGTAATACAAACTCCAGCAGCCATGCTGAATTCATGTCTGTGGATCCATAGCCTGTTAATCACTGCTGACAGTCAAATGAAACTATTACACAAACCACAATCAGGGGAGGATAGAATAGTCGGTCCTACTTACTTTTCTGGCCACCTGTCTGAAATATAAAATACAACATTTAAATTTTAAATTTTAAAAATACATTTAAATTTTAAATTTCAAATATTTCAAAGTATTGATACATAAAATCGTTATTCTGGAAGAAGTTGGCGACCATTTGATATTATGGAAGAGGAAACCTTTTGTATATCATGAAACTCTGACTGAACACACATTCTGTCCCACACAGAAATCCCCAGAATACAAAACGGTTGGTCACTTATATGACGCCAAGTATGCAGGTTGAGATTTTGTCGTGTACAGTCATGACCGATGTACTGGACTTGAATTCACAGCGCATATTATGAATAATTATGATCATGATTATAATATTAATCTTGAATTTGTAAACAATATCCACCACAAATAGCCCTTACTTTCTTTTCTGCTTCCGATGACTGAATACTAAGGGCCAGCACCAGCACCACAAGCATGAACACCAAACAGTCCCTCATCTGAAACAAAACCACACCTACAGGTGAGCTAACATGCATCATTACACGATTCACTTGGAGTTGCTTGAGAACAAATGTGCAGGAAAATCTTCAAAATCCCAATAGTATATAACAACACAACATGATTACCATCTTCATGAGGCAAGGGACTTAACTGACTGTAAGGGTCCAGTTTCCACCTTTGCCGAACTAGGCTGAAATTATGGTTGGTTGGTTGGTTGGGTAGGGTTGTTGTTTAACGACACACTCAGCAATATTCCAGCCATATGATGGCGGTCTGTAAATAATCGAGTCTGGACCAGACAATCCAGTGATAGACATCATGAGCATCGATCCACGCAATTGGGATACGATGACATGTATCGACCACGTCAACAAGCCTGACCACCCGATCCCGTTAGTCGCCTCTTACAACAAGCATAGTCACCTCTTACAGCAAGCATGGGTTGCTGAAGACCTATTCTAACCCGGATCTTCACAATCTATCACTGTTATGAGTTTATGTGACTTAATACACACATTGGGCAGCACATGAACAGATACGAATTTGTAGTCTCGAGGAATTCCCTGAGAATGTCTGGATGAATTCCCTGAGAATGTCTGGATGAATTCCCTGAGAGTATCTAGATTAATTCTCAGAGAATGTCTAGATTAATTCCCTGAGAATGTCTAGATTACTTCTCAGAGAATGTCTAGATTAATTCCCTGAGAATGTCTGGATGAATTCCCTGAGAGTATCTAGATTAATTCTCAGAGAATGTCTAGATTAATTCCCTGAGAATGTCTAGATTAATTCCCTGAGAGTATCTAGATTAATTCCCTGAGAATGTCTAGATGAATTCCCTGAGAATGTCTAGATTAATTCCCTGAGAATGTCTAGATTAAGTCCCTGAGAGTATCTAGATTAATTCTCTGAGAATGTCAAGATGAATTCCCTGAGAATGTCTAGATGAATTTCCTGAGAATGTCCAGATGAATTCCCAGAGAATGTCTAGATGAACTGCCAGAGAATGTTCTCAGGGAATTCATCTAGACATTCTCAAGGAATTATTAAATTCCATGAGAATGTCTTGATTACTTCTCTCAGAATGTCTGGACAACTTCCCTGCACAATGCCTGGGATTTGATATGTATTCTCAGGGGTTTAAACATATTCATGACACTCAAAATTCCCCAAATATGCAGAAACGTAGTTCCCAATAGCATATTGCAAAATAAGTTTGACTTGGTAACTTCACATGGTGATTTTCATGCTGCACTATCTTAGCATGCTACAAGTTGGACTTGACTTGCATCACTTTAAATCTTCTGTGACATCATCAATGATGAGCTGTATGCAGAGCTGTAGAGCAGCTGCATATCTGCGTAAAATATGCATTAAATAAACTGAAATGCACTGACAAATCAAATCCCTAGCAGATCAAAACTGCAACAAAATTGCTTTTGAAATAATGAAATGAAATGAAATTCAAAATACATTTAATGAAATGAGTACGTTTCAGCTGATTCCGAAACTAATTTAATGACAGTAACATTCGGTAAAACATATGCATAATACTATAATGATTTACAAGGATTGTTACAAAACATGTTTTCAGGTTTAAATACCCAAATTTAAAGAAACTTGTGGGTAAAATTTCTTGATACCCAATAAAAATCAAACCCAAGTGTAAAATACCCACATAACCAAAAGCTTATCTGGAGCTCTGCAATGGATGATATTATTCGCTGGCTCGTGGTATTAAACCTAACGCAGGACACATAAAACCACATGTACCCCTCGCGATACTGCTACAACGAATTTATCTTACCGGCCTGTTCTAATATGACATTATAAATGAATTCAAATAAATTCAAAATTGATAGAAAACAGCTGTTTGATTGAGCATGTTGAGCTGAGGTTAACATGTGCTATATGTCACGTGACTTTCATTGACACGGAAAGAACGTGCAGCTTTCTGCTTTGAAGCGAGGTATGAGGGATTCAGAAATTCACGTGCAGCCTGTCTTGTTCATTATCGGCTATAAGGGATGTATTCTCCCGCTGAGAATTTTATTTCCCTCCTAGGCGGGATACATCATATTTTATCAAGATCACATGAACCAATCAGATCTCATCATTCTGACATGGAGTTATGATAACATCATTTATTAATGGCAGCAATGTATGATATATGTCATGTTGCTGACAACTACCATATATTACACTCAAAATACTCCAAATGAATAAAACTGCTTTTCCAAACATTAACTTAGCATATGAAATGCATTTGAGCCTTGAAATATCTTTGATATCAGCGTCTTCAATATTCCGAATATCCATTCCAGACTATGTCGGCCCAATTGCTGTACAAAACTCTCATGGGTCTTTAATAGGCGTGATTATTCTTGGAATCATAGGGGGCACGGGTGGCCTAGTCGTCTAAGGCGCTGCAATTCACTGTGCAGAGTTGCGTCCCTTCGGCACGCCAGAAACCTATGATTGTGGGTTTGAATCACATTTGGCCCCGATTATGTTTCTAGGCCTGTCAGCACCATACCCGTGCTCGTGGGTTTCACCGAAGTGGTAAACCTTTGAGACCTGCATCACTAGGGCTTTCCTCCCACCTGAAGCTGACATCATGTTCAAAGCGGCGTTAAACCCAACTCACCCACTCACTCACTCACTCGGAATCATAACAATTACAATAGCTTTTAGGTGTTTTAACATAACAGAGCTCGGCCCAAAGAACCAGATCTAAGTTGCACTAAGTGCACGTTGACATGAAAACCGAGTTGCACATGACAAAACAAGGTTAAACTCTGGTCCCATACATTTATCTAAAAATATAAAATCTCAGTTGTTTGATGACTATGTCAGGATTTTTTCATATAGTAAGTACTTGGTGTTACAGTATTTATCTGGTTATGCCATCAATTAATATCATACATTTTCTATTTTCATATTTAAGTGCTTATCAACTTGGCCCTATGAATTTCCCTTAGGATAATAGCCTTATCTCTTCTTATCTCATCTTAATGGCAACCATCACATCATCCATATTTACTGTTAGTAGTTTGATAATCTAAATATCATAACGTGATAAAAGAGTCAACGTCAGTGATAGATGAAGTAACAGTGCAGTACATGTACTCACCGTTTGATGGCACCAAGCTCAAGAAAGCATGACAATTTACACATAACACTGGGATTAGTCATATGTTATGGTAAATGAAGCTGTGAGGTAGATAAAGATGCGACTAACGGGATCGGGTGGTCAGGCTTGCTGACTTGGTTGATGCATGTCATCGTATCCCAACTGCATGGATTGATGTTCATGATGTCAATCACTGGATTGTAGGGTCCAGACTCGATTATTTACAGACCCCTGTCATATAGCTGGAATATTGCTGAGTGCAGCGTAAAACAACAAATAAAGAAAGAAAAGAAAAGAAAAGATTGATGTCATGTAGAAAAATAAGGTTTAGTCAAGATAATTTTTGAAGTTTTTCACATTCACTTGGTGCAAGTTGACACAAATATTAGATTACATTTTTCAATAATTGGATGCACTTGTGCATGTTAAATACAGCTAAATGGAGACTTGCTTAAGCACAGTTAATATAAGTAGCACCATATGTTCCAGTGATCCTTGCAAACTAAAAGCAGGACTGGTGCCACAACTGTAACATGTTATACACTGGTACAACATCAGGCGCTACATAATCTGCCACTTTACAGCTACTAGTCCAAAGTCTGCAAATGTCTTCTTGTGAGATACTATACTAACCTAAACAGTAAGATCAAAATCTACTGAAAACAATGCCAATACATGTATTTAAGTTCAAGACACAGACTGTACATAATCTTGGAGTGAGTGAGTGAGTGAGTGAGTGAGTGAGTGAGTGAGTGAGTGAGTTTGGTCAAATGCCTCTTTCATCAGTATTCCAGTTATATTGCAGCCTGTCAGCTTAATGTGGGAGGAAAGCCCGAAGTGATAGAGGTCTCAGACGTTTACCACTTCGGTGAAACCCACGAGCACGGGTATGGTGCTGACAAACCTAGAAACATAATCGGGGCGACCCGGGATTCAAACCCACAATCATAGGTTTCTGGCGTGCCCAAAGGACACAACTCTGCATAGCGAATCGCGGCGCCTTAGACGACTGGGCCACCCGTGCTCCCAGTGGTCACTGGAAGGCAGCAGAGCATAAGTTTGTAATTTCACATGCATACATTTGTTTGTTTGTTTGTGTGTTTGTTTGTTTGTTTGTTTCTTGTTTAATGCCTCACTCTGCAGATATATGTTGAAAACCTGTAAATAGTCAAATCTAGATCAGACAATCCAGTGATTGACATCATGAGCAATGCTCCACACCATCAGGGTACAATGACAAGTCACTGAGTCAGACCACCCGATCCATTTGGTTGCCTCTTTTTCTACTGGCATAAGATGCTGGGGACTATTCTAACCTGGAATGCCTTACAGGGCTATAATTTCACAGGATCATAGCTATGTTGAAACTAAATTCCTGCAGCAACATCAGTTACTGAGTTCCCAAACTGTGGCAGGAATTTCAAAATGCAAGGTGCAATATGCTCTCAAAGACCTATGGTTACATCATGTTTATGATGCACTAAAAGGTGCACATGTGCATCAAGGCGTCGCCCGGTTCCGCTGGCTGTTTTGTTAAACAGGTATATTGCTCCCATATACTTCCGAAGACTCCGAGGACTTGTTTACAAACAGTGCAATAACTTGACATTATACAAGCTCCCTACCATTCCTGCAGTGCAGGGCATTCGGCTACAATCTCATGGTGCTGGCGCTGTGCCTGTTTTCACACACACTTCACAACACATGCCACGACATTATCTCACCCTTACTGGGCAGGCTATATAAAGACTGTGATGGAGACAGGGATGGGGCAACAGGCAGCAACATTACATTATCTCACCCTTACTGGGCAGGCTATATAAAGACTGTGATGAAGACAGGGATGGGGCAACAGGCAGCAAC